CTATTCATGGTCTTTTGTTATTCCATATAAATGTCAGGATAGTTTTTTCCATTTCTGAGAAAAATGTCATTGGAATTTTGTTGAAGATTTTATTGAATCTGTAGATCACTTTGGTTAGTATGGACTCTTCCAGTCCAAGAGCATGGGATATCTTTCCATCTTCTTGTGTCCTCTTTAATTTCTCTCAACGGTGGTTTGTAATTCTCATCATAGAGATTTTTCACATCCTTGGTTAACTTTATTCCTAGGTTTGTTTTTTTGTTTTGTTTTTGTTTTTTGGTGTTTTTTTTTGGGGGGGGGGTTGTGTGTGTGTGACTATTGTAAATGGACTAGCTTTCTTGATTTCTTTTTCTGCTAGTTCATTGTTGGAGTATAGAAATGCTACTGATTTTTGTGTGTTGATTTTGTATCCTGCAACTTTGCTGAAATCATTTATCAACTCTACAAGAGTTTTTTGTAGTCTTTAGGCTTTTCTATATATAAGATCATATCATCTGCAAATAGGGACAGTTTGACTTCATCTTTTGCAATCCGGATGCCCTTTAATTCCTTCTCTTCCCTGATTGCTCTGGCTAGTACTTTCAACACTATGTTGACTAGGAGTGGTGAGAGTAGGCATCCTTGTCTTGTTCCTGTTCTTAAGGGAAAAGCTTTCAACTTTCCCCATTCAGGATGATTTTGGCAATGGGTTTGTCATATATGGCTTTAATTGTATTGAGATACTTTCCTTCTATACCCAATTTATAGACAGTCTTTATCATGAACAAATGTTGGATTTGTCAAATGCTTTTTCAGTGTCTGTAGAGATCATCATATGGTTTTTGTCTTTGATTTTATCAATGTGGTGTATCACATTTATTTTTTTGCATATGTTGAACCAACCTTGCATCCCTGGGATGTATCCCACTTGATCATGGTGTATAATTTTGTGTATATGTTGCTGTATTCTATTACCCAGTATTTTATTGAGGATTTTTGCATCTATGTCCATCAAAGATACTGACCTGTAGTTTTCTTTTTCTGTTGTATCTTTGTCTGGTTTTGGTATCAGGGTGATGTTTGCCTCATAGAATAAGTTTGGGAGAGTGGCCTCTGTTTCCATTTTTTGGAATAGTTTGTAGAGAATTGGTATTAATTCTTTAAAGCTTTGGTAGAATTCTGCAGTGAAGCCATATGGTCCTGGGCTTTTCTTTGTTGGGAGAGTGCTAATAACAGCTTCAATCTCCTTGATTGTTATTAGTCTGTTCAGATTTGCTATGTCTTCTTGGCTCTGTCTTGGTAGTTTGTGTGTGTCCAGAAATTTATCCATTTCCTCCACATTTTCAAATTTGTTGGTGTATAGTTTATAGTAATCTCTGATGATTCCTTGTATTTCTGAGGTATCAGTTATAATATCACCTTTTTCATTTCTAATTTTTGTTATTTGTGTCTTGCTAATGATTTGTCAATTTTTTATTTATCTTTTCAAAAGACCAACTTTTGGGCTGGCCCGGTG